GATTGCCCCCTGCTTTCTATTTCTATGCACTGCAGATTACATCTCCCCAATGCTCTGATCAGGCCAGGAAAGAAAACATTAAAGAAGATACCTGCATACAACAGATACAAATTTACTACAGCTAAGCAGCCTTTCTTCTTACTCCCTTGACAAGCTGGACCCGAACTTTCTCGCTTAAGGAATAAAGAGGTTAGGCTGGAGTTTGGAAGCAAATGATCCGGTCTGCTCTGGTTTCCGGTTTAATAAACATGCATCTACATCTAATGGGCCGTCTGTCAGTTCCCTTTAATAGAAATCACCTCCTCCTCTAATAATCATTAAACAAATTGACAGTGTAATAGCCAGGGCATCTCATCTTAATGCCACCTGCTCCAGGAAGAAAATTTCCTGCTAATATCTTTCCCAAAAGGCCATTACTCTGGTTAATACAGGCAGGACTCCGATAGAGAACACGGCACCCAATGTGTGGGTGTGAGGAACAGACAGGGATATGTGTGTGGGTCTGTGTGTGCTTGATATGTGTGTGTTTATGTGTGTTTCATATTTTTATCTTTCTTTTAATAATAATTCCTTATATTTTCATCTTCAGAAAAATCAAAGAAGTGCTGATGGAACACTGGAAATCTCATCTCTTGGGGGGGTTTTTTTGACGGTCAGATATTCTATCCCCAATCCTCCCCCCCCCCCCCTGAAAAGGGGACCTCCCTTCTCTCTTTTGAAAGACTCAGGAGGCTGGATGCACACTACATTTTCTGCTAGACAAAATTTCCACCAAGCCCCCCCCATTCCCACTGTAAACCCTCCTCCTATTGTTTCTCAGGGACTCCCCACCCAGGTGCTGCACTTCATGAGCATTGATGGGCGACTGTGGGAGGCAGGAGACAGGGACTTTCTATTCTACAGATGGAAAATCTACAGTGCCACAATCCTAAACAGAATTATGCTCTTCTAAATCTACTGAAAGGAGCTGCGGTGGCTCAAGTGGTTAAGACGCTGAACTGCAGGCTGTGGAAGGTCAGTAGTGCAGCAGTTCGAGACCCGAGTGTGCCGCATGACGGAGTGAGCTCCCGTCTCTAGTTCCAGCTCCTGCCAACCTAGCAGTTCGAAAGCAAGAAATTGCAAGTAGATAAATAGGTACCACTTCGGTGGGAAGGTAACAGCGTTCCGTGTGCCTTGGTGTTTAGTCATGCCGGCCACATGACCATGGAAACGTCTTCGGACAGCGCTAGCTCTTCGGCTTTGAAACGGAGATGAGCACCGCAACCCTAGAGTTGGACTCGACTGGCTTTCGAGCAAGGGAACCTTTACCTTAAATCTACTGAAGTCAAAGGACTTGGAAGGATGTAACTCTGTTTAAGATGCTTTCAGAGGGTAATGGTTTCAGGTAATCTGCTGGTGGTCCTGGGCCCCAAAGACATCCGGATGTCCTCAACCAGGGCCAGGGCCTTTTAGGTCCTGCCCCCAAACTGGTGGAATTCTCTGCCAAACACCACCAGGGCCCTGCGGGATCTGATGCAATTCTGCAGGGCCTGCAAGGCGGAGATGTTCTGCCAGGCTTTTGGTTGAGGACAGCGATGGTCAAACCTCAGAGACCGACAAATTTCCCCAGGTACAATCGTTTGAGATCAAAGAAAATCTCGATGGGAGACGACAAAGGGAGCTGTGACGCTTGGAGAGGAGACAGGAAGAGTTTTGACTCTCCAAAGCTCATGCCCCCCCCCCAAATCATGCTGGTCTCCCAGGCCCTAATAGATTTAAATCTAGCCATTCAGTTTGGGATGACACGGTGAGTCTGACTCTAGCCCAGGATGTTGTACAGTCTACCTACCAATGAGAAAAGGTATGGAGGTAGTCGGGGCACATTGATACAATTTCTGTGCTATTCTGTGAATTGATTAGGGGTACCGTGAGGTGATTCAGAGAGCCGGCAAAATGATTTGGAGTAAGAGGAGGGCAGGCTTAGACTAGGGGAAACAGGCCTGGCCCCACTCTGTGCTCAGCTCCGGGTTGGCACCTCTGGGTTGGGAAATTCCTGGAGATCTTGGGGGTGAGACCTGGGGAGGGCAGGGTTTGGGGAGGGGAGGGGAGGGGAGTGGAAGGACCTTAGCAGAGCATAATACCATTGAGTCCACCCTCTAAAGTGGCTATTTTCTCCATGGAAACCAATCTTGGTCACCTGGAGAGCAATTGTAATAGAAGGAGAAGGAGTTTGGATTTATACCCTGCCCTTCACTCAGAGTCTCAGAGCAGCTTACAAACTCCTTTCCCTTCCCCTCCCCACAACAGACAACTTGTGAGGTGGGTGGGGCTCAAAGAGCTCTGACAGAAACTGTTTTTTTCAAGAACAGCTCTGACAGAACTATGGCTTGCCCAAGGTCATCCAGCAGGTGCAAGTGGAGGAGTGGGGAATCAAACCTGGTTCTCCCAGATTAGAGTCCACACACTTAACATCTACACCAAATTGGCTCTCCAAATACCGCCTGGAGGTTGGCAGCCCTATGCTCAGCCCACAGCAATGGCCTCAATGGTGGATGGGAGGGACTGGGTGAAGATTGGCAGCTACTCTCCCCATCGCCTTTCCATTCCTTACCATGGCTGTGGTCTGTGCAGCAGGTGGAGCTTGTGGAGAAATGAGACCTGTTTCGAGAACTGAGGTGGGGTAGAGCAGAGCGAACTTGTAATGTGGCTGCATTTTTATTCATTTGTGCTATTCTCTTATCATGGGGAAAGGAGAATCAACATTTCCTGGAACCCTGGAACCCAGAGGTAGCTAACCGATTTGGCATCCATGTTGCAAAATTGCAATGCCTGGCTGTCAAGATAATGATGTCCCAGTAAACAAGATGGAGCAGGGAAGAGACCCGGGCTGAACGTCACCAGACACGCTCGGAGCAAGCTAATCCCAATGGTGCAGCCAGGATCTCAAGGAGGACCTCTGATTTCTTTTGTATGTGGTGTTTGACCAATGGACACCTGCCCTCTTGTACATCAGTAAAACACCACACAAAAATAATCTCAATGCAATTGCATCAAGACTGCTTATTTGTAGCACTCATGGTGCAAAATAATGGCTGGAATGGAAATGTGTAGAGACTGGTAGAGACACTGTGCTGTGAACAAAGTTCAAAAGAAAAAACAAGGAGAACTCAGCCGGCGGCTGTGCAGGTCTGGGAGATGACGACAGGCATAAGCCATGTCAATTGCATTCTCCCACAGCATTGCTTCTAACAGTGTTCCCAACACCTCTGCAGCCTGGGAGGAGACCTGGCTCTGGGCCCCAAGCAAAATGTTCTGCTGTGACACTGTCGGCACATGTGCCAGAGGTTGCCTCTCCAAGCTGTGGCCTGATCTGACACCTGCTGAGTTCAGAGAAGTGCCGTCTCTGTGTGCCTGTAGCTGATCTTTCCCCCACTCCTTTAATGTTTTATAGTTCCAAAAAGGGGGGACTTCTCCTTTAATGAGAAATTCACGGGGGAATAGCTGTCATGCTGCCAGCTGCGGGGGAAAATTTGTGGCAAGTCACTATCACCCTCTGATGACCTTCTTCTGTCTGTCTCGCTCAGTGAAGCCCCCACAGGCAGTAGGTTTGGTTATCTAAACCGCAAGGACACAAGCATACCTGGAGGCCTACGGATATCACAGGCCTTCATTTCAGGGAAGGATGCTTCCAAAAGTAGGTTTGGTCCATCCAGATCCGTCGCTCCCTTTGTTTTTGTCTTGAATTTTGTTCACAGCGGAGTGTATATACCAGTCTCTGCACATTTCAGCTCTCGTGTCATTGTGCACCACAGTGACTATAAATAATCCTGATCCAGTTGTATTGAGATTACTTTTGTGTGTAGGGTTTTACCACTGCGCAAGAGTGCAGGTGCCCGTTGAGCAAACACCACATACGGAAGAAATTGTCGGTAGGATCACTTCAATGTTGCTCCATCCACACGCTAGGCAACGCAGAACTAATGCTAATGAAAGATGCTAATGAAAGGAAGGGATTGAAAGCTATAACAAACGGTTCCAATTTTAACTTTTAGGAATTTAACTGGAATTAGTGGGATGCCAGGCAGAATGAATACATGCAGAGGTCATTTCGGGGGGGGGGCCGCGGGGGATCGCAGTTCCCCCGGGCG